ACTACTGATTTGTTTTTATTTTCAACTGGAGACTGTTTGTCATTAAATACATGTTGTGTGGGCAAGTCATGTGAAGCTTTGGCATTAGAATCACGTTGGTTGCTGGAGCTTGGTCAGCCACCAACATTAACCTTTACAATCAAATACTCTGACCAACCTACAGGGTTTTAGCTCATTCCAAAAGTATCAGTGCAATGTGCCCGGGGGTGGGAGTCAATCTCTGAGGCCTGAACTCATGTTTAAAATGACACTTTTTAAAATAATAATTGTAATAAAGATTGCAACAGTTCCCAAACATACCACAAATATCACAAACCAAAGGCCAGGCAATTGCATAAAGTTGTCAGCTTGACCTTTCAGACCATCACATTGCTTTTAAGGTTTGGTTCAGTAACAGTGCATTGAAGAGAATGATGAGGCACAGAACAGCAATGAGGGGAAGGGTGGAAAATTATTTCAAGCAGGAATTGGAAGTTACATCTAAAGTAATTGATCACTCTCTTTGTCGTCTGTGTTGGCAAGACTAAAGACTGCTGTTTACTGTTTGAATGATATAAAATAACTGGGGTTCTAGAAGATGCTGAGGGATTAGCGGGTCATCTTTTATTGTAAGTCAATTAAAGAAAGGTTTGAATGCTGACACAAATTTCAGGTGGCATCAGTTGGAAGAAGGAGTTCTCATTATTTTTGTAAAGCTGCTGTGATCTCCCAGAAAAGGTATGACGTTCTGAGGGGACCGCAGTAGCAGATTCCCATAGATAAGCGTCTCATTCCCAGAATGTGTCCTCCCTCTAATGCATTCCTATTGCACTGTTTATGTACAATGATTCTCAGATTCATTGGTAGACTCATCTGAAGAAGTTTGATGATAATAATAATCTTTGCATTTAATATAGCGCCTTCACAAAGCGCTTTACAGAATATATTGACTGTGTGTTTTGTGGGTGAAATGCAGCAGCCAATTGTGCACAGTTACAGTATGTTACAGTATTTAGATTCCTGCACACGAAGATTACTGATCAGGCCACAGTTGGATATTGGTATGTGGGAGAGGGCCTAGAAAATGTTGAGGAAAGTTCTGGGTTTTAAGCCTGGAAAGAGAATTTTGCAGCACTGACTTGTTGTAGTTGGAAAAAAGAAGATGGGGGTGGGGAGACGAGACTTACTGCCAAATACTAAAGTACTGACTGACCTAGATAGATGTAGCTATAAATCTAAGCAAGTTATTTGACTTAGATCATAGGGCAGAAGAAGAGGACACAGGTTTAAAATTACCAAGCCTCTGGAGATTAGATGGATTTATTTTCCCAGAGTAGAGGATATTTGGAACAGACTTCCAAGAAAAGAAGTGTATTCTGCATTAATTAATCTCTTCCCTAAAAATAACTATCAGTTTTTTTTAGGACAATCCCAGAGGTTATACTGGGTGAACACTGAGATGAACACATGCTTCAAGGGACTAAGATATATCTGGGACTCCCATGGTCCTGGGAAAATGCTGTCTAAAGGGAAGAAAGGCATGGAGCACTGGAAATGGGGTAGCAATGGACTTTACATGTGTTGGTTCCAAATACGAGTTAAATTACTTATTGATTTAAAGATAACGATGTTAAGTAGCTAACGCAACTCGTGATGCTTTGTTTATAGACAAACTATCAGTATGTTGAATAGATCTTTGTTCTGGGTAGGTTGTATAATGAGCTGTGGTGTTTTTCTGAAAAATATGTTAGATGATTCACGAACCTCACAAGCATGGTTAAATTATTAGGATTCATTTATAAGGTTCACGCTTTTTCCAAACTATTGTTCCCAAGTTGCATTTCATATGTTTTCAGAGAAATTTTAAGTTAAACTTTTAAAAACAACTTTTTTTTCTAGCAGAATCAGACCTGGATATTTCTGCAGCAATATTATACTGGTACAGATCAAATATTGTGCTTTGTGCACAACCTATCCATTGTGCTTTCCACAATATTGCAAGAAGTGTTAAATTAAGTCATTCAATGAAATAGTGCATATAATCATTATAAAGACTGAAGCTGATGAAATTAGCTAAGTTCTTTCTATAAATTACTCTTAACATAAGAAAATGGACCCAATGGAGAATTCATTGCTTCCATTAAGTGCATTCACCAGAAAAGGCCTGGGGGGGGGGTGGGGTGGAAGAGAGAATTTTTTCTTTGTGTGACTGCTCTTGCAAATTCAGAAATTGTTATAATATTTACAACTTTTTCCTTTGCACTCTGAGAGACCAGGAATACTGGTAGCAGAACTTTGTGATCCAGAACTCTGAAAACTGAAAGTAGATCTCTATGTTCACACTTTTGGGGGGGAAAAAATGACTGAATTTGTATTAAAGGGGAGAATAGGGGAGCTCTGCCTCCTCGTGGCATCTCCTGCTCACTGCAAGTCCTATTCACTACACATTTACAGATGGTATGCAATAAAGCACATGGGGATAAATAGACTTGGAATGAGAAGACAAATCAAATCTAGGGAACAGGTGGACAGAGAGATTGTGGAAGGAGGAAGGTTGAATGAGAAAGTAATGTAGAAGGAAATGTGGAAATCTATTAAGACTGAGATTGATAGATTTCTTGTGGATAAAGGGATTAAGGGATATGGGGATAAGGCGGGTAGGTGGAGTTAGAATAGATCAGCCATGAATTTATGGAATGGCGGAGCAGGCTCGAGGGGCCGAATGGCCTACTCCTTCTCCTGATTCTTATGTTCCTATGTCAGGAATCTCACCTGCTGCTATTCTGTGATATTCCAAACATGTCTGACTCATTTTAAAATGCTGACAAACTTGTAAAGTATTATAAATGTAGAGATACAGAAACATTGCAATAAAACAGATTTTTTTCTTTTTAAAAAATGTGTCAAAATGGGATTTATGGGAGTCATTATGTTATTGCTTGAATTTTATTGAAGATTGTTGATCCTCAAGCTTTTGCTCTTGCTAACCTGCGGCTAATATTTTCCAGAATTAGGTAAACAGAATGTGTCCCTCCAGGAAGAGCGTGCGTATTCCATTCCAACAATTTATCTCTGGGATTTCCATGTGTAGGTGGGATACATGGAATTCTCAGTTTGGTTTGGATACTCTTAAGCATGATAATGGATTTCCGCATGTGTCAGACACCCGGTTGACCAAAACAAAAATAGTTCAGAATCTATTTATTTAGAATTTAAATTGCTACTACCAGTTTCATGTGAAAACATTTGCAAGCTTTTATTTAATAATAATCCTTGCATTTACAAACAAATGATGCAATTCCACAAAACTACATGACCATATTTGCATATTCTGACACTGAAGTAAAAATATTACATACATTATTATCATTTCCATGCTTAAAATAATTTTCTGGTATTTAATTGTTATCTCTCCTGACTGCCACCAGTTTTTTTCTATTGATTTCACATGTCTGAGGATCGAAATCATTGAGCAATTTTGTTTTATGGCTATTTCAGTCATACTTAACAAATAAGGTCAGAATTGCCATCACCAGCAAAATTCCCCAGACAGCTATTACTAAGGAATAATTTTATCTGTGACAAACAATTATCATCTCAGGTCACACTGAAAGGCTGCCTAGTTCAATACTTAACAAATGCCCACAATCATAACAGTTAGCTCAGTTTCAAACACTTCTCTGTATCCAATTGTATAACATTGCTAAAACAATTATTCTTCAGAAAGTCTTGTTTTCTTTTCCACAAATTACATTAATCATCCCGTGGGGAGGAGACCACATATGAAGTGATCCAACATTCTCAAGCAATCTATTAAAAGAGACCAAAACACAAACTCATCCTTTGAATGAGATGTTAAATGAAGGTCCTGTCTACCTGTTCAGGTGGACGTTATACATCCTGAGACACTATTGGAAAAGAGAAGGGACTTTTTCTTGGTGTCCGGGCCAACAATCCAGATGATAAAAANTCGTACCCTTCATAGCTCTTTTGGGGATGTTATGTGCAAATTGGCTGTTGGAATTACTGTTAAATAATCACTTAACTTGTCTGCAATTCCTTGAGAAGTGCTATGAGGTGTTTCGATGTGATAAGGTGCTATATTCAATCCAGGGATTATTATATAAATTGACATACAAAATCCTTTATGTGGCAACATTTATGTTTTTTCACATAATTGTAGAGAGGGAAAACTGTAAACGCAGGATTTAAAATAAATGCTGAAATCCACAGTAATTCAATGAGCATCCGAAAGAGAAAAGGGGATTAATATGTGATTCTTATTGATTATGCATTAGAATGCTTTTTGATACAGTATTTTGATTGCTGTGTCAAAAATCGCCATTAGATGGCGCGCAAGTAACGGCTGTCTTGGGGTTGATGGAATGCATTTGGAAAGTTTGTGTGTGTGTCTGTGTGTTATGTAAAAGGGAATCAGGCTCAATTGTGGATTATACACTCCAATGGTCGAAGCATCGCTGTCTTGGCTCACAGATGTTGGAGGAACCCTGGAACTCAATATTAGACAAGTTTCCTTATTCCACACACCTCTATTTACCGAGCAGTAAGTAGTAACCCGGTTGTTAGTCGATTGGAGGGATTATTACCCCCGGATCACTTTCCGGGGGTAACAATCCCTCCAAAAAAAATATGATCACTCAATCCACGATTGTTTGTGGGACACTGATGTGCACAATTCGCTGCCATGTTTTGCTCACAAAATATACAGTCAATTCACTTTACAATATATCCTGTGAAGAGCTTTGAGATGTGTCAACGAAGTGATAAGGCAACAACAACAACACATGACACTTGTAACGCGCCCTTCACGTCGGAAAGACGTCCCAGGGCGCTGGACAATCAGGGGAAGGCACTATATCAAATGCAAGAATTATAATAATTATTATTATTATAATTATTAATGCTCCTCCCGCCCCAGGTTCTGCTGATTGGCTCAGGGAAGCGATGTTGCATTGGAAAAGTGGTTGTGAATAATGTGAAATCCAATAGCAGCATCAGTGCACTTCCGCAATTACAGAAAAAAAACCATATTCCAGCTTCAGACCCCCGAGAGCACACACAGAGATATCCCCTCACCCCCACACCGTGTGAGCAGACAGACCAGAGTGGGTGGGGGTCCTTGACAGGTCTCACGCACTCCTTCAGTGCAGTTGAGTCTGTGTGAGTCTTATTTCGGAACAGAAACTTGGATCAGTCAGTGAGTTCACACAGACAGTCAGTGCTCACTCACATGGGGTTGGTTTCTCATGTTCTCACGTTAATCTTAGCCCTGGGAGAGGTGGTGTGTGTGTGTGTGTCTGTGTCTGTGTGTGGGGGGAATATACCACGAAAGGTTGAACCGTCTTGGAAAAATGTGGCTGAAATTCGTGCTGATCTCACTGTCCCATTTGAGTATTGCTCGAGGTAAGTGTCGCTGTTTTGTCCACTTCTCCCTCTCCCTCTCTCTGCATTTGTGAGTGTGAGACCGACTCTCTCTCTCTCTCTCCTCTCTCTCTCTCTCTCTCTCAGATTGTGCCACTTCATCTGTGCAAAACCGTAACCTGGTGTCAGTGGACATTTTAAGCGTCGAAAGATATAGCGCTGTGTGAATTAAACGAAGCGAGAGGGAGGGTGTTGTCTTTGCAGTTTTAATGGAACAAATGCATAACAAAATAGAACATTTCACAAACAAACCAAGAAAGGTTTTGCCTGCATTAAATTAGCCTTTCAGTCCCATCGTGGTCTGGCAGTCATTCGTGTTTATAATCAGACTGGATTAATGAAGGCTGGAGCAACAGCTAACTTAGTTGAAAGTTTTTTTTTAAAAAAAATGATATTTAAGCTTCACATAAGACAGTAAGTTGAACCTACACCAGTGACTGAGAGTTACAAAACAGGAGATTTAGAGAAGAAATGAACTTTCGCAAAGCAGGAAGTGGTTTTTCTTGTTATTCTTCTAATGCACCAGGAAAGGATATCACTATTTTCGAATTTAAAAATGTGATGCAATAAACCCTTTAAGAAAATAATTTTGTCACTCAATCCACCAGTGCTTGTGGGACACAATATTGTCTGCCGCATTTTCGCCCGTAAAATATAATCAGTTCAGTACAGTATATTCTGGGAAGCACTTTGAGAGGTCTCGAAGATGTGATAAGACGCTATATCAAATAAGGCACTATAGTTTCTCATGTTCTAGTGACCTATACCAAGGCTACTATTCGTGTTAACTAGCAAAAATTTCTCCTTGCTCTTTTCAGTATCTAATGGAAATGAGAAAACTGAGCCAGCAAGTTTTACAACAAGCCAGACTGCATATTTGCCAGGAAACTCATCTGGCCATTTTAGGCTGAACACATCATCAGCATCGGCGATTCCCACAAACACACAGAACACAACAAACAGCCAGAAAGAAACCGAAGCCTCTTCACTCTCCTCCAGCAATCAGAGTGTGTCTACAAACACAACTCATACAATGCCACCCAACAGCAAAACTGTATTTGCAACCACAACTGATATAATTCTGTCCAACAACAAAACTGTGTTTGCAAACACAAGTCAACTGGCAACCACAGTCCTACCAACCCTTCCAATGAACACAACTATAGGCAACCCAGCTTCCAATAGCACAACAGTGGTGACCACTTCAGCGCCTAATGTAACTTTCAATGGTACAGTCATGGTGACCAGTTATGCTCCTAACATGACTAATAGATTTGATAACTCATCTCACATTGATATTACAACTGACATACTGACAAATGGCTCAGCTATGACAACTCCTTCTCAAGTCTCTGACACTCACAGTCCTTCAACAAGCCTGGCACCAACCACAGCCTCTTTCAATGACAGCAAGGTCACTACAGGACAAAAGGCTTTAGCTCCCCTTACAACATCAGTCATTTCAATCCTAATCTCAGTGCCCACCAGACTTCCAACCAACTCTACAGGAAAAGATGTTAAAACCTTGACTGAAACTAAAACAGGTGAGACAAAGAAAGGATTTTAAAAGATCAAAATTAGAATTATTGTCATGTTTATTTTCTGTCTATATCGGATATTTTGAATAAATGCTTTTGTTTAGAGAATTTGCCTACAAAAGGCACAGTCACTACACTTCAGTGAATCCTGTGAATATCTACATTCGGTACTTTAAGCGCTCTGAGACACTACCCTGCCTGAGGGACACTGTATAAATGCAAGTTGTTGTGGTTGTACTTTGAAATTCCTTCTCAACAACTAATGCCTCTCATATTTCTAAGCAACAACAGCGTGTTGCAAAAGTAAAATGAATGCATATTTGGACAAATGTTCTTCAGACTTTTAAGGTCATATTGAATCACTTCCAACAAATATAGCACAGGCAAAAAAATCAGGCTTGGCCCTATCCCATGACCTAATGCGTCCCTACGCAGATACACTCTATAGCTTTTTGAGAACATTTCAAATCTCTTTTTCCCCCAAAACAATATTGCAAAATACATATTGATTGGGAATACGTTATTAAAATGTGTGTAATGTATCCCTGAGAGACATACAAGTTCCAACCCAGTCAAGTGAATCTCAGTCTAGCTCCTACAATCTTTTATCTTTGTGTTTATTTGTGGCTTTTTTGATATAGAGTTTAATAACTGTGCCTTTATTCAGTTGGCTTTCTTGACTAGCACGCAAAGTGAAGCATTTTAAGACGGTGGACATTTCTGATTTAGAGAGAGTGCAGCGTGGAGGTGGATCCACAGGAGTTTGTGGAGATGTCTATGGTGGAGCATGTTTCACTCTCTAAATATAATAATAATTCTTGCATTTGATATAGTGCCTTATCATGTATTTGATAGTCTCAAAGTACTTCAGAGAATTTACCGTAAAGTGAATCAACGATGTATCATGTGGAAGCAATATAGCAATGAGAATAGCAGTGAATGACCTAAAAGTGGGCTGAGGAGAATATCCAAGTCAAACAAGTTTGACATCCACCACCTGAGGGAGAATTGATTGTATAGAAAAGATGAATAGGTGGTGTGTAATTATAAACATTGGTGCTGAATTTCTTTGGATGCACATGATGGAATCTTATTACAGGAAATGTCCAAACATAAAAAAATGCCTTGTGTGGGAACAGTGTTCTGTGTAAAGCCCTATTGTAATATGCATCTTATATTGTTACATAGGTGGAATTAACAACTGACTTTCACCTCAGATTTGGTGACTTCTTAAATACAGGAAGAAATGTTTGCCTGGCTCAGTTGGTAGCCCTCCAATCCACGTCAGCACACCGAGCTCACAGTGCAAGCTGATACACCAACGCAGTGCTGGGGGAGTGTTGCATTGTCATATTAGCCACCCTTTCGCTGAGACATTAAACCAAGGTTCTGGCTGCCTGTTCAGGTGGATGTTAAATATAAAGGAGTTTCTCTCTCTTGCTCTCCTCCCTCTCTCTCTCCCTCTCTCTCTCCCTCCCACTCTCTCTCTCTCTCTGTGTCTTGGCCAACAAACCCCCAAATAAGGTCATTCACTTAGTGGCTGTTTGTGGCTGTTTGTGGTACTGTATATCACTTTGCACAAATTGGCTGCTGCCTTTACCTACATATACACAGTGACTACACTTTACAGAAAACTCTGTGAAGTGCTTTGAGATGTCTCAAAGATGCTATATTAAATCCAAGGATGATGATTATTATTATAATAAAATTGCACATGGAACAGAAGGCAAGTTTTGAGCTACATTGAAATATTTACAATGTGAATATTACAAATATGTATTTATTTAAGTGAGTGTGTATGGGGGGTGGGGGTGAGGGAGGAGAGGAATAGGAGAAGAATAAATCAGTCAACCTTTCTGCCCATTTGGAAATTTAAAATATTCACTGCTTTTAAATGCATGGATCAAAATTCCTCAATGTTTTGGATATGTATCTATGTGATGGCTGCTCATTATAAGAAGCTCTTCATTATTTTGTGCTTTTATCAACAGGGTCCGTATTGATAGTCGTGTTGATTTTGGTGTGTATTGCTGCGGTGTTGCTGATACTGGTGCTGTATTGGAAGAAAAGGTAGGTTCACCAGGTTCACCTCAACAGAGATGGCACTGAGTACAGTCCATGAGAGGAGGTGCGATTTTCAGTTCATCCTTTTTGTTAAGATTATCAAATTGATTGAAAAATCGTTGCAAGTTAGAGCAAAGGAGAAGGACATTCAATTCAGCCCATCCTGTCTGCTGGTGCTAACCAGTAAAGCTATCTTATCATATCATATGGACTTAGCTTCAAGTCTACTCAACTTCAGAACAGCAAAACAAAATACATAGTTCTGTGAATTCCTTTTTTACATTTATTACAATTTGCAAATCTTACACTCCAATGCAGTGCTGGGGGTTTGTTGCAATGTCGGAGGTGCTGTCCTTCAGCTGAGACGTTAAATCTGAGGTCCTGTCTGCTGTTCAGGTGGATGTTGCATGGTACAGTTTGAAAAGAGATGGGAGTTTCTCTCTCTCTCCCAATGTCCTGGCCAACAATCCCGGTAAATAAAATTGTTCACTGAATCCATGGCTGATTGTGGGACATTTCTGTGAGCAGACTGGCTGCCACGTTCCGTCCACAAAGTACACAGTTACTCCAATTTAGAGTATATCCTCTGAAGCGCTTTGAGACGTCTTAACGATGTGATAAGGTGCTATATCAAATGCAAGGATTATTATTATTATAAGGAAGCTCATCTCTGTACTGTCACATAAGGCATCCCTTTTGATCATACATACTTTGCATTCAGTTCTACCGAACCATGGATGCAAAATGGCTAATTGTATGATGTCTTCTTCCTTCCTGTACAAAAACTGAAACAACACAACTGACCTAGTTAGACATTCAAATCCTTATTCAGTTTCACTATACTTTCAATCATCACTATACTTCCCGTCCACAACCCCCCAACCCTCACTCAGTTGTATTCATGATTATTTTGCCAATTTCTTGTCATTGTGAGTGACAGTAAGTATTTTTCTTTGTTCTGAGCAGTAGGTGATAATAATAATCCTTGTATTTGATATACGGCCTTATCAGGTCTTCGAGCCGTCTCAAAGTGCTTCACAGAATATAAAGTAAATTGACTGTATATTTTGTGGGTGAAACGTAGCAGCCAATTGTTTACAAACAGTCGTGGATTGAGTGACCACATTTTTAATGGATTATTACCCCTGGAAAAGCAATCTGCCAATCAACTAACAACCGGGTTCCTACTTATTGCTTGGTTAACAGGCATGTGGAGTAAGGAAACTTGACTAACATTTCGCCCTGCCCGAGAATTGAACCCAGGTCCTCTCACTTGCGAATCGAGTGCTCTAACCACTAAGCGACAGGACTTCTTTGTCCTGAGCAGCAGGTGATATAATGTGGGCGCATATTGTCCTTGGCAAGAAGTGTAGACAATGAAAAGTTCTTTCCCTTTCTCATGCAGGAGAGTTATGTACAGCCGCCTGAATGATAACAATATCACTCGATCTTGGAGCAGCTACAACAACCCTGTGTTTGAAGATTCATGACAACGCAATACTTTAGCTTAAAAGAAAAATTGTTGCTAAAGGATATTAAGCAGCAAATGTAAATATCGTCGATTTCTTGTAAGGCTCTGGAAGAACTACCTTCTCTACAGTTTCAGGACTGATTTGAAATTGATTGTTTCTGCAATGGCTCAGTGGTTAAGGCCGCACCAACTACAACAACAAATTACACTTGTATAGTCGCCTTCACGTTGGAAAGACATCCCAGAGCGTTGGGACTAGTCTATGTTTTGCAGAACAAATGTTCATTGTGTTGAGTTGGTTGATGTCAGCCTGGGCCATTATTGTGGAACTACAGTTAGTCTAAAGGGTGTAAGGGGGTTATTTAAAAATGAGAAAAAATCAGCCAGGGCACTTGCTCCTAACAACTATTGAGTGATGCCTGTTGCAAAGTACAGATTTAAAAGTAAAGGTGGAATTGAGTCAGCCCTTTGCACTGGCCTCAGTTGCCCATATTTCTGAACCAGGCGGGTCCTATGGGGTGATGTTTGTCTCTTCCCACTCCACTACACGTTGCCTCCACTCGGCTGGCTCTGGCCTCCTGCTTGTCCCTCATGCCCTCTCCTCCACCATCAGCGGCCGTGCTTTCAGCCACTACGCCCCGAAGCTTTAGAACTCTCTCCCTCAATCTCTCCGCCTTGTTGTGGTTGTCTGGTTTAACAAAGAGCGCTTCCCAATGGGATTTTCCTACAGTAAACATACAGTGCAGTTAGTGGCAAAAGGAATTGCTTAAATTTGTTTGAATTTCTTGGAACGTTTGGCACAGTATTTGAATCAACGGCGTGGAGTATAGTTGACCAAGCTATCAGATTGCAGTGGGTGATCCTGTTGCGTAGCAACCGTAACCTGAGCCGATGTTTTATATATGAATCATGCGGCCTTGTTATTGTAAATGTAAGCTTATGTTTGTCGAGCTGATCAAGCCTTATACAATTCAAAGCAACATTCTGTTTTCTGCTGGGTTGGATACGTGTAAAAGGGTTTCAGCTTTGCTCCGTGAATCATCAAATGTGCCACACCAGCCGGTATCCCCAGATTTGACTAAGTACAAACGAAGCTATAGACAAATAGTGCTTTTTGTTACTAAATAGAGAGTAATATGAGATTTGAACACTTTAGAGGAATGCTGATAAGATAAGTGACTGTTTTAAATCCTTCCAGTTAATGTACACCAGCCTTAGATGTACAATATTTATTCTGAAACTCATAGATAGTGACTTTGATTCAGTAAATTGAAAGCATAAGAAAATCCTGATTTGCTACTGAGGTCCAGTTGTAATGTCAGATTTGGCCTCCAGTGCAACAGTAACTTGCATTTATACAGCGGCCTTCACGCAAGGTAGTGTCCCGGGGCGCTTGACAGTGGCGGAGTCTGACCCTGAGCCAGGGGAAGGGTGAGATGACTATAAGCATGATCAAAAAGGAAGGTCTTCAGACGAGATTTGAAAGTGGGGAGGGGAAAGTGGAAAATGAGTTAGTACAAAAATAAAGATTTACACATATATATATATATATATATGGGATTTTATCTCATTCTATGAAAATTTCACAACTGAAAAAAATCATTACATCAAAAATAAAGATGTAAAGAATCTCAGGGAATCTCAGGGATTAGGATATCAGTATCTTAATTACACATTTATTAGGCGAGGGGAGAAAAGCATGATTTTTTTTGATCACCAATACTGTTTGGTTTTACTCTATAATGTACAGTAGGAAGTGATAGAGTGTTTGTACTGTGAGAGATATTTGAGGCATGGAGGTAGTTACTGGAAAGCAATACTCAGCTGAATGGAATTGCTGAGAAAAATCAATACAAGATATAATACTGTATATTCCTAAATGTACTGTAAAGTGCTTGCTAAAAGGCATCTTGTCTTAGAGGGTGTTTGAATGCAATCATACCTGCCTTGTGAATCAGTGATTTAAATGTTGGTTAACAGGATGACCAATTATACAGAGTCATTCTGTACTCCAGGATTCTGGGCAGGATAGTTAGCATCAGAAATGGTGCACACCCTCTTCTCAATTTCACAAGTGTCCGAAAATGTGGCAAAGCAGGGAGAATCTGTCTTCCTTTGTGTATAGGCCTCTAAAACAGAAGTATATTCCTTCGAGCTGAATTTTAGTGTGGTTCTCAGTAACTGATGTGCCGCCACTTTGAGACAGTAAATCTGTTGTGTATTTTTTCTTTAGTATTTTATTAAAACTTAAGAGGGAGGGCAGCTTTTTCCTCTGCAGCACAAAAAAATACTGTTTGCCCATACTTTCTGTGTTCATTTTTTAAAAATCTCTGCCCACTTTATATTTTGCCATTGTCCAACCGAGAATCACATTTGAAATAAAGACTTACTCTGTGTCAATAAAATGCTAGTTCTTAAAATGAGGAAGGGCATGAGAATTCAAGGGTGGTATTTGCCTTATTGAAAATTAAATATACAAACCTTAATCCTCTTATTGCCCTTGAGATCTCCTCCTGATGTGAAAGACGCAATATAAATTGCATAAGTTAATAATATGAAATAATAATAATCCTTGCATTTGATATCGTGCTTTTCACATCTTCCAGACATCTCAAAGCACTTCACAGAATATACTGTAATAAAGTGAATTGATTGTATATTTGTGGGCGAAACGCGGTAGCCAATTACGCACAGCAGTGTCCTATAATAATAATAATAATAATCCTTGCATTTGATATAGCGCTTTTCACGTCGGGAGGACGTCTCAAAGCGCTTCACAGAATATACTGCAAAGTGAATTGACTGTATATTTGTGGGCGAACGCGGCAGCCAATTGCGCACAGCAATGTCCCACAAACTGTTGTTGATTGAGTAAACAACATTTTGTTTGAGGAATTATTATCCCCAAAAAGCGATCCGCCAATCGACTAACAATTCCATCTTATTGCTAGATAAACAGAGGCGTGTGGAGTAAGGAAACTTACATCGAACACCCTTCACTCTCTTTGCTACTTGTTACCCCCTCGGTCACAACTGTCCTCATTGCTGGGCTACTCTCTCCGCTCAGGCAACTGCCCCTAACTAACCGCTAATTGCCCCAATCCCCTTCAGCTGCTGTATGATTTGCTGATGAGCTGAGCATCTCAGCTGAGGGGATTGTGCTGGTGCAGAGAGGCAGAGGCTGACTTGTGGGCAGGATAGAGGGGAAAAGGCCATCAGAAAGACACCCGGTGAGCTGAGGTTGTGCTGGTAACACATCGTCTGGGTGACAACTCTGCCTTGGGCAACGTCATGGTTTGAGGAGGAACAAACCATGAGAAGGAGGCAGGTAGGAAAGCGTGTTAAAGAATGGCAGATACTTTAATAATTGTTTCGGGACAATGAGTGGGCAATGAGCGTGTTTGGAGACTGTCACGATTGGTGAACTTTAAAACAAATGGAAAAAAAAGGCCATTGTGCGTAATGTATCCCTGGATACCATCAAATGGGAAGTGTGTGATGGACTCTTTCTCTTTGGTTTGGGGAGAAACTGAAAGCTGTTTATTTGCTCGGCCCAATCTTAATTTCCTACTGAAACGGGCCCATGAGGTGGCTGTTTTGTAAAAAGTTTAGCAAATTTAGGCAATGTCACATAGCAATTTGTTGTGGCATTGAAAGGATTTATTTGTGAACAAGTACTGAAGCACTGATTGATCAGAATGTTCGGGAAGGTCTTCCTGGTTGATAACTGTCAACCAGTGAGCCTTTGTTGGAGTAAAATAGAAGCAGCACATCTGGTGCGGCTGGTGGTTTGACACGTGTGGTCGTGTTGGGCCTGTCATCTTTGGTCTTCCTTTAGGTGGTGATCAACAATGCCCAGAACACGCCTCGCACATGCCTCGCGCGCACCTGCCCCACGTGAATCAAAGCAACGTATGTGTACACAACACTTGCTCTGAGAGTGGTAGAGAAAATCCGCCACTTGATTAATAAGAAACTTATCATGGAAGCACATCAAAAGAGGTTAGTCTAACCTTGGGTAAGGCCATTGCCGCTTTTACAAATCAGGCCTGCGAGCAAATTATTGTTGAATTTTGGCACTGCAACCATGGGGAACCCAGGAAGATGGGGTTGGTTCTGTTCTGTGCTGGGAGACAGAATGGGGACCAATTCATAATAATTATCCTTATTATCATTAAATATTATTTGATACACAGCAAGAGGAGACGTCCAACCTATCCCAAAGGTGAAGGGTCAGTGGCTAGGCCGCGATCTCAATATGATATTGAATATTTAACTGCAGATTATTTCATTTTTGCAACATTTGTACATTATAACAATACTATAGAGTATAGTGGCCCAGGTGGCCACTATACAGGTGGCCCATGTGTTTGGGGTTGGGAAGTGGGGTGCTCTAACACATGTTGTTGACTAATGCTAGAGAACTTTTTTTTGTGCAGTTTCAATGGCATTTCTCAATCAAGATCCGAACCACAAGTTTTCTCATGATGGGCAATTTCAACCTTCATCTCAATTCCCCCTGCCCCATCTCCTCTGACTTCCCCGCCCTCTTCTCCACCCAAGATCTCACTCTCCACGTAAACACCCCGATCCACAACCATGGCCATTCCCTCAACCTCGTCATCACCCATGGCTTTGACATCTCTGATCTGTCCATAACAGACAAGGCCATCTCAGACCACTTCCTCATCTCCTTCTCCTCTCACATTACGCTTCCCTCCTCCAAGCCCTCCACCATCTTTTTCCGCCCATGGAAAAGCCCCTCACAAACGGCATCTCATCCTCGGACCTTCTCTCCCTCTGGCCTTTCACCTGCAATGATGTAGATGCAGCCGTTGAGCTGCTAAACGATCACCTCTACTTAACCTTCAATTCCCTCGTCCCCCTAAAAACCAGGTCCGTCTCCACCTTACCGCTCCCCCTTGTACAACAGTCACCCCTAAATCCCCTAAATCTCAAAGCTGGTTCCGCGAGCGCAGATGGCACAAAACTGGCCTTACGGTTCACAGCCAACTGTGGCTCGAGCATCTTCATACCTACCACCACTCCCTCACTCAAGCCCAAACTGCTTTTTACTTACAGGACATTCTCGAGGCCAAAAACAACCCCAAAATCCTATTCTCCACACATCTTCTCAAGCACCCCAAATTCTCACTTCTGATATCAAATGTGAAGAGGTCCTGGACTTCTTTATCTCTAAGATAGATGACATCCGCCTGGCTCCCCCATGTCACCTACCACCCCCACCCCCCATGCCTCCTTCATCGCCCTTTTCTCCTACCACAGCTCCCACCCTGCGCTTCTTTGCCCCATCTCTCCCTCTTCCCTTTCCCCCAACATCATCCATATGAAGCCCACCAACTGCTGCCTTGACCCCCTCCTCACCCAACTTCTGGTCCCTTCGCTCCCCCTCCTCTGCCCACTGGTGGCTGACAAAATCAACCAGTCCCTCTCCTCCGGCCCTGTCCCACTCCCCCTCAAAACCACTGTCACTCCTCTTCATGAAAAACCTCAATCCCTCCAACCTCACAAACTTCAGACCCATCTCAAACCTACCCTTCCTGGCCAAAGCATGTCGTTGCAAATCAACTTTGCTCGCACCTCTCCCTCCACTCCCTACTCAGACCCCTCCAGTCTGGTTTTTGACCTGCCCCCAGCAGAGAGACAGCGCTTTCTCCCTCAATCCCTCCACCTTGCCCCCTCCCTCACCACTTCCAAATCCCACCTAAAGACCTTCCTTTTTGATCGTGCTTATGGTCACCTCCCTCTCCCCCTGGCTTTGCATCAGACTCCGCCATTGTCAAGCGCTCTGGGACTCTAGCACGCATGAAGCGCACAATCTAAATGCAACAACAGCAACAGCATTTATATAGCGCCCTTCACATGGGGTGATGTCTCAGAATGCTTAACAGTGACGGAGCCTGACAATGAGCCAGGGGGAGGGAGGAGGTAACCATAATCAACAACAACTTGTACTTATATGGTGCCCTCCACACAGTGTAGCATCTCAGAGCGCTTAAAATTACGGACCGTAATCACGGTCAAAGAGGAAGGTCTTCAGTCATGATCTGAAAGAGGGGAAGGAGGGAGCAAGGCACTAAAGTTGGTGAACAGCACATGTCAGCTAACCCAAACAACTGGACTCATTTTTTGTTAGACTTCAATGGCCTTGCTGCACTTAGGGCAATTACTATCCACTGGAAAGACGCCCGGTGCGTGTTTGCTAATGTCACTGCTCAGTGCTGGTCAACTTGTAACTGTAATTCCTTGGCTCGTGATCTCGGCAGTTCTGGAAAGAGTTTCTCAGCCACGAGGTTAGAGCCAGCCAGTCAGCCAGCAAGCTTCCTGTTGCAGAGTGGCATTAAACAGAAACCAAGTGCACTGA